TTTGTTTATTTGACATCCATGCCACATTAAATGTACCTTAAAGAAACAATATATAAATAAGAAATTCTACTTAACAGTGATGATTACTCTTCAGTAAGATAAATCTCTTGACAATAATACAAAAGGAATCCTGTCAAGCAATGTCTGTAAAGATTTAAATAAAGCATATTTTTAAACCAAACAGAATTTTTAAAGCAAATATTTTACCTTCATTTTCTTTGCAACAGTTAGCATTACAAAGTGTGCTCAATTTGTTCATTCTCTTCAACAAAATTAGCACTGTCTCCCAGGTTTTACTTATACTGGTTCAATCACTGATTATGTATGATACAAGTAATTAGTCAAAATAGAATGTGCCCTTTTTAGTTGTTAATGCCGATCAAAAAAAAAAAAAAAAACAAAGGAAAAAGCACTGAGTAATCTAAGACTTTGATAAATACATTTTATTGTGCTTTTATGCTTTTGGAGGCTTCGTTTTTAAAATGATTTTGAGGATGGGGTAGGGAATAGAGAAATTGAGGGAGGAAGAATATCTTGGCGACATTGCACAGTTTTTTTCTGATGCTTCTAGGACCTGAATGAAGAATCTCCACCCTGGAATTTAGAGCCTCAGACTAGTCTGTAAATGTGATTATGCCATGAATTATGAACAAATGGTTGCCATCTGTGTTTCTTTTCTGAACTTCTTTTCATTTATTAATTTTTACTTTATTTGAAATTTTCATATTCATCTCAAAAATTGTTAAGGATTTTGTATGAATGGGAGAATTTTGCTTCCATTTTCTATTCAGTGAGTTTATGCTTTAATATGCTTTAATATTAGGCTGTTACCAATATGTCACTTGCTAATCATTTGTGTTTTCAATAATGTAGCCAGGATAGCACCCTCCTCCATAAATTAGTGTTGAACTTAATGATTGTCTCTTAATAACTAGAATCTTTGTTTGACGTACATACTTAACACTTTTTAAGCCAGTAGTTGCTATAAACTATTATATTCCAGAATTGTACTTTTAAATTCTTATTGCTCATGAATAAACATTAAGATTATTCCAGTTGGTTGTTGGATCTTAGAGATTGCATGATATATTAATCCTAGCAGTTGCTGACTGTTTAGCTATGTCACGAATCCTACAGGAAAGTTCTTTTCATACTTTACAAATTAAAGAGGTAGATGGTGCTTTACTTAATCAACATTGCACACAAGCTGCGTATCTAGGTTCACATGAAAGAAACACAGTAAGGGAGGCTGTAAAGTAGTGGCGGTCAGTTGAAAGTTGTCAACAGGGACTGCTTTACCCAGGTAATCATTGCTCTAAGGATAGGGGGTAGTGGGGGGTAGGTGGAGGAGGGGAGAGCTTTGCTACTGGGATACTTAAAAAAAAAACACCAAAAGACAAGTCTTTTATGTTAACTTTTTTTGTGTGAGAGGCACAATTTGTGAAAGTTCATTACTTTTATTCTGACCATATCCCTCTAAGATGATCATATGAATGACATTACAGGGTTTAGAGGAATTTTTATAAATCAGATTAACTTTCTCAGTATACATAAAAACTGAAACTCTTTGGAAGATTCCAACTGACCCCAGTGTTGAAAATTAGCTTTTGAACTGAGACTATAACTAGATTTTGTTCATTTATTCTAATACTGCTATTTGTTAGTTAGATTTTTCTATGTTTACTAACACTTCATTTCACTATAACCTATATTTAATATTTTTAGAGTAGAAAGTGAATTAAAAGTTCTACTTTCCTATTTAACACCATATTCTTATTTTTGCATATGTGAAAAGTAAGGTCCCGAAACTTGCCGAAGATTATGTTACTGATAGTTAAGGGCATCTTCTAGCATTAACAGGTTATCTACATATTAGCGGCAATTAATTTAGCTAGTAATTGAGTCATTATTTGAGGTATACTCTTTCAAACAATCAAATCATTGTGGTGATCAATGTTTTTGATTAAGGTAATGTTGGTTTACAACACTGTATATGTTTTATAGGCGTAGGCTCAGAATTCTGCAAATCTGTTACTACACTACACCCACTACTGCAGTTGCAGTAATCCTCCACATAATTCATTGAGTCCCCATCCTCATTCATTTGTTTTTTTTTTGCTATATTTCTTTGCTCTTTGTGGAATAAAATCATTCAGTGTTGGTCTTTCTGATTTTGACTTAATTTCACTTAGCATAATCCCCTCCAGTTCCATCCATGTTGCTGCAAGTAGCAAGATTTCTTTTTTATAGCTGAACAGTATTCCTTTGTGTGCAGGTGTGTGTGTGGGTGGGTGGGTGCACACACACACACGTGCGCTAGCCATTGGTCACTTAGGTTTTCAGAGCCTGTTACCAATAGTGCTGCATAAACACCAAAGTCGATGGATCCCTTCAAGTTAGTGTTTTTGAGTACTTTGGGCAGATCCCTAGGTGTGGAATTGATGGATCATATGGTAGACCTGTTTTTCATGTATTGAGAACCTCCATACTGTTCTATAGAGGCTGGACTGGTTTGCATTCCCATCAATGGTGTAGGGATTACCTCTCTCCAATACTCTGTGTTCCTTTGAAACCTCACATCAAATAATGAACTCCAAATAAATTTTTATATTGGTTAGTTTGTAAAGTGCCAAGAACCATTCTTTTAGAGTGCATGATGAATAGGACAGCATAGAATCTGAACCTGTTATAGGACAGGGAGAGGGGCAGCCCAAGCCCCGCAAACCTGCCTATTCTAAATGGGTTCTGCCATCCGCCGCATCAACACAAAACACATGAGACTTTAATGGGAAGGAACTTTAATAAAACTAGGAAACAATACAGGTAAGGCAAAGAGTCTAGTTTCTAAATGAAGCACCCAAAGTTACCCATCCCCTCGTGGGTAAAAGTCCATCCATATGGGATCGGCCCAGAACAAGGCCCCAAAGTCGACCACAAGTCTAAAACATCTTCCAGTGGGGACCCACAGAAAAGGATCACAAACAACTGGACAAGCCCGGAAGGAAAAGAGCAAAATCAACATCAAGATAAAAACTGCCATTGTCACCTCCCCACGGGTCTCACCCACATCTGTGTCACCCAGTCCACGACCAAAAGACAAGCAGTTTCTTTACGTGTCTCTAGGCTCCATGCGCCTCCTCCAGGTCTCCTTCTGGCTCCATCCCGCTTCCTTCCTCAGTCTCTTCTGCAGCTTCTCCTCTTCCTGCTCAGCTCCACCCTCCCTTGGGTGGGGCAGGGAACCTGGAACTTCCCCCTTTCCTGGGGACCACCCTGTTACAAACCTATTACATGAATAATCATGTGAAAGTTAGGCTATCTAGGATGGTGGTAGCTCTGTTTTTCCAAGATATAACTTATTCATTGATAAGTAGTGGTATGTTAATACATGATGATACAGATTATCTCTTCAACTATTGAATATTAACTGTTATTTGATATTTTTCTGATAATGGTGTAATATTTAGTGATATAGAAACTGAAATATGTGGAGATATATTTATATGCGTAACTTAAAGTATGAAATTGTTGGAATAAAAGCAAGTAAGTAGGGCTGTTCAGATTTAGGTATGCCAAGAATTTCCAGCTCTAAATGAAATACTGATGGGGAGGGTGATTTCCCCCCTCTTATGTGTATGTGCTGTGAAAGATAAGTTGTGCTGTAGAGAATGGTATTAGATGATATAGTTGTCCTGTGTATACATCCAACACCTTCTACCTCAGTCATTACACAAAACCCAAGCTAAGTCCCATTGATCACTCAGATTATAACCTAATCACCCCCCCCAACCTTCTAAATTATATTCCTTGACCATTTCGTATTAGCATTTGTCCACCCTGGTCTTCAAGACAGGTCTTCAAGTCAGGAATAAACCAGTTGAGAAACATTGTTCTACACCTGTGTAAATCATTATATAGTATATATCATTTTCACATGGCTGTTGCTTTAAAAGTTTCAAACTCAACTTGACCAAAACTGAAACAGTTATTTCTCTGGCCACACTCCCATATCTGTTTCTTGTCCTTTCTGACTGGTTTCAGTGTTTCAGCTTTTACTCTGATAGAGTTCTCTTGTCTGCTCTCCGGTTTTCTCCATTCCCAAGGCAGTACCTCAGCTCAGACTATCATCTTTTCCTCTCTGGATTCTTGCTACAGCTCTTTAAATTACTCTACCTTCTGTTATTACCTTGCTCTAATCTTTAATCCAAGCTGACTAGAGGCAACTTTCTCAAATGTCTCATGCGGTTTAAAAACTCCCAATTCATAGGGATCGAAATCCTATTTCCAATGTATGGAATTTCCATTACATTTCCTTTTATTTTCTGGTCTTTTCTGTCTTCCGAAATTTATATCTTTCTGTTCTCCCCTCTTGCCCTCCACAACACAGATGTTTATTTTGGATTACTCAGACTCCTCAATCTTGCCATTTTATTCCTCATCAATGACCCTTTTCAAATGCTACTCCATCTCCCTGTGATCTTGTGCTTTTCAGTTTTCTCCATCCCTTCCCAAACCCCATACAACTTCCCGCCTACCAATATTCACTTCAAATGTCATGTCCTCCTACATGCACTTTGTGATTATTTTTACTGTAAACCTCTCCTTGAGGAGTGATTTTGTGTCTTTTTTGTTGTTGTATCTCTATTCCCATAGTATCATGTAGGCATTCTACAAATATGTGTCAAATGGAAAATGAATAAAAACCCAGGGTGTTTTTAAGTACTACTTTTGTAGACTTTCTGGTTATTTTGTTTTTTGTAGGTATTCATCCATTTTTTTTTATTCTATAAAATCTTGCATGCTAAATTGGTTGAAACTTATACCTTCTTTACAGTAAATGTTAATTGACTTTAAGCAGTATTTAAAATGTAGCTTTTCATGTATTTAAATACTCATCAAAAATAAACTAGTATTACTACTCACCTTTTTCTCATCTACAAAATAGACAATAGACAGTTTATCAAAATATTTTTTACTTTTTTTTCCTCTCTTACCCTATTTAGCTAAAAGACACAAAATCAGCAGATCAGAAAACAACACTACTTCATTTTCTGGTGGAAATATGTGAAGAAAAGCACCCTGATATTCTGAATTTTGTGGATGATTTGGAACATTTAGACAAAGCTAGTAAAGGTATGTGCTTTCATTGACAACATTTTACTCCTTTGGGTCTTCAATTAGTACTTGAACATCGAAAATAATGCTTTTATTTGAATATACTAGCCACTTTGTCAGTGTTTTCATACTGAATATGTCATTTTAAAAATAGAAAATAGTAGGTCATTTATTTTATGATTGTCATTATTGGAGCATGGATTTAATTTGTTTAATTAGATAATGTGGTTCTGTATTGAAAAATACATTTTTTGCAGTTTCAATCTTGTGAATACCCACAGCTCTACCCGCTGCTGCCAAGCAAGCCCCTTCACTGTGGTCAGTGAGGTGCTGCCCTGGTACACTCATTCATAAGTACTTAGGGACTATGATGTTTCTCAGTCAAATACAAATTATCAGTGTCTCCCTTTTGTCTTAGTTCTACATCTGTCTCTGCCTACCTTGCAGATGGGACCTGCATTCTTTGTTCTAGTAGTGATGAAAATGCCAGAGATTATATTCCTTCCTTCCTACTGCCCAAATTTCTAACCTACTTTTTGCCCCAACTGTGTTTAGATCAGGTTGTAATGGATCATAGAAAGGCTGGGACCTGTTATTAATACTTGGTTGTAATATGTTAATATAATTTTTGACTACTTGCGGCACCTAGTTTTCTCTTTCATATCACGTTGAACTCTGGGAAAAAAAAAACTTATTTGGCTCCAAATAACCAATTTATGAATACTCTTTTGTATGAATAGATACAAATGAAGGACTATACATTTTGAAAGACAACTCGTTTAAAATGGTGGAATATCTCTTCTTTTTGTGCTGTCCTCTGGTCATTAACATTGTCAACTATTTTAGTAATCTGTGTATTTACATCTTAAAATTGGAATTTATGAAGTAAATGAAAAGGACTTTTTTTTTCCTTATTGCCATGAATATTCCTGCTAAGTAATAGAAAATCACTTTTATCATTACTACCCCCTTTAAATTATGTCATATGCTATAAAATGGCCAGAGTAGCACTTTATGTGCAAAAAGGAATATGACTAGATGAGATATCCGTTGAAATAGTTCCTTAAAATATTTTGAGATATATGTTTCTTTGAAGGGTATATCTCTCATAATCTGTTGGGGGAAAAACATTGAAAATAATATGGAGTTTTTACACCAATAATAACCTTTTACTTCTGTTCCCTAAAATTCTAATGGTATTGGAATTGCTTTCCCCTTGTGCTACCTTAAGATGTCCTTGGAATAAGAAGATAATGTCTGTATATATGTGTGTTTCATTGAAATTTAAGAAGGAAAAATAATCCAAATATTTTCTCATATTAAGCATTGAGATAGGGCAAAAGATCACATAGTGGGGCAAATATTAAAAATAACTCAGTGATATTAAATATAGCTTTTAACTGATTTGTTCATTAACTCAGGACAGGCAACTTTCCTAAAATATGCTTTCAGAGATTTTGGAAATTAAGTGTGTTGAATAAGAACTAAAAATGGTTATTCTTGAGGAATGTTAAACTAGATAAGTAACGTAATAGTGATTGATGAGTAGTACAAAATGCCTTGAAATTTAGAGGAAGTTCTTTTTGTAGGGAAAGGATGAGTAGTTAATAGCTTTATCAACACTAGAACTTTAACAAGAATTAAGTTAGGGCAAGCATTGTCAAATAGGAGCAATTGCATTTCTGGCCAGTTCTAAAATTAAACAGCCAGAACACACTTCTCTTTCACATGTACTTTTTTATTGTCAAAATTATTTTCTAGTGGTTTTGCTACAAATTAAAATTTTAAGAAGTAATTTACCTGCCTCGACTTATTTGTACATAAAATTATGTATAAATATATTTTGCTTTTTAAAATATTTAACTATCAGTAAGGGGTTGGAGAGTTGTTAGTTGGTTATTAGATTCTCTGTTTTCTTTTTTGGTGTGTGTGGGGGGCACCCTAGGCCTTAGGGGTTTTTAGTTTCCATCTGCTAGAGAGGAAGCTACAATGTACATGATTCAGCAGATATTGTTAATATGTTTCACAGGGAGCAACCAACCTCAGATTGGAAATAGAAAAGCCATCACTGGAAGAACTTTAATGTGGTGTAGGTGATTGTTGAGCATAATTTCTTTTTATGATTTTTATCACCCTATTAATGAATGAGATTTTACAAGAATAAATGTAGTATTTGAGGTGCAATAAGTCTATGTCTGCTTTGGAGAATTTCAATGCTCTTATATACCATCATTTAAAAGTTTGCAGATTTGAAATCTCCTTAGTGAGCTATCACATGAATTAAAAAGTACCTTTGTTTTTGAGACATAACAAATCCTGGTCATTAGATACTCCTGGATCAGCGGGGGGAACTTTCATTGCAACTAATGAGCTTACCCGTATGACAATTTTCAAAAATCTACTTCATTAGGACTGCTTCTTTTCTAAGAGATAATAGCTTACAGCTTTACTGTTGTATTTCAGTGAAAATATTTTGGGTCATTATTGTATTTCTGTACACCATTGTAATATATCTTTCCTTTCTGGACTTCTAAAAATTGAGTATATTCTCTCCCTTGCCTGAAGAGTTGCAATTAATTGACTCTAATCTGTGAAGGTATCATTGATTACTTCTTAATAACCTGTTTCATGATTAAATTGGAATGGTATTATATTAATGAGTAGAAAATATGACAAAACTGTGATGGCTTGGGGGTGTATTAAAGTATAACCGAGGTAAATTTACAGTGTCGCCATGTTCAGAGCTGTCTTTTTTAGAATTTTCATACCTCTGCCATCATATTTTTGGTTTTGTCTAGATAGTCATCTCTTAATTCTAGAAATACTGCTGTGCTAATCCAATCTGTAATTCAGTTACTGCCCATTCATTTGATAAGCATGTGACATGTGATTACTCCCTGTGTTAGAAACTCTTGTCTTGCCGCTGGTCTACGGTACTGTTTCTGAGTCATAGTGTAATCCACGTCACCTCACATCTGGTTCTGTCTCAACTGACTCTTCCCTCTTACTCTGAATATCTTTTCCTTCTCTTTTGTGCAACCTCTAAGTATTACTGTTGCTATCAGCATAATGCTGAACCTGTCTTTTTTTCCCCATCCCTATACATTCTCCTTCTAATCTTTTCAGTTCCCAAGGATTTGAATAAAATTATTATATGTACCTTAAAATTTATATCCAGACTTCCCTTTTGAGCCTCCACACTTGTGTATCTAAGAGCTTAGTTATAATCTCCAGCTATATCTCAATTATGTAGATCACAGTATACCGTGAAATGTGGCTTTTGATTCTATACCCTTAACTTCCCTTCCCAGATTCTGCTTACTTGAAAAAAACCTTTCTTGGCTTCCTTCCCATTCCATTTGTCTCATTAACTCTGTCTCATTCAACGCCTCCTGAACCTCCAAAAGTTTGTGGTAGAGTCTACGTTAAATCTATGGGAAGTTGCAGCTATGGCCCAGAATGTTGTCTGTTTTTCTCTGTTACCGAGTGACTTAAAGTAAATGTCACCTTCCCTTTCCTTGCTGTTTTATCATGATGCTTCCTTGGAAACACACCTAAATTTATGTATATTCCACTCTTTCCTTAAAAATAAATTCATAGATTTTTCCAGAAAAATCTTAGACCACTATTTGAGAAATACTGCTCTAGAATAGAGACCATTTCTCAAAGTGCTGGAAGTCTGTGTCACTATCTAGAGAAAGGACAATACTCAGTCCTTTTATTATCAGAGTGGGTATTTTTGTCATTGTTTTTTTATTTCTGTGTTGTTAGTTTTCAACAGTAATCCTTCATATCTTATATTTGATTATTTTTCTCTCCATTTTATAACCTCTTGGCTTTTAAAACTATTTGTTTGCTTTTAGCTAGTAAATCCTTGCCCTGACGGAAATATTTGTCTACTTAAACGCATCTCCTGGTTTCTCATTCCTTGTGACTTTCCAATATTTTATGATAAATGCCTTACTAAATACCAAATGTTTATCTTTTATTCACCTACTGTGAACACTTAGAACACTTAATTTCCAGGTGGCTGCCACCTGGAAACTGCATAGTGTTTGAAAATTTCAAACTCATCTGCTGTAGCAAGCAAAAAGCATTTTCAAAGGCTTCCATTAATCTCCTTATGTTACAGTTTCCCAAAAATGTCAATTAAAATTTATTAGCCAGTTTGATATATATATTGAATATTCAGTATTAGTTGTTAATTCAAATTGCATTGTATATTTTAAGTGTATGTTATAAATACGTAAAAATATTGTGCAACAAAATTAACAAGAGTAACATTGTATTATTGGTTGGAATGATTATGCCATGGAGATTATAAGGTTGAGGTGTCATAATTTTGCAAGCTAAATAGTTTATTTGGAGTTTCAAATCAATTGTAAGATATCAGGGTTTTATGAAAATACACATTAGTGTATTTTCAACATAATGAAGTGATTAACAGGATACATGGTTGTTTGGAGATCATTTATAATAAAATAGCAAAGATAAATGTAGGATACATTCTATTAGGAGCTGATTTTTTTGTCCCTGTGTGTTGAGGCACTAACCCCTCAGAATGTGATAGGGCTTTTAAAGAAGTGATTAAGATAAAGAGGCCCTTTGGGTAGGCTTTAACCATACCTGACTAGTGTCCTTATGAAAAGAAAGGCAATGCATGCACTGTGAGTGTTCTTTGGTGGTGAGTGTGCTATGGTAATAGCATCAGAAGTCAGGGAACCTGTACTTCCAAAATACAAACAACAGTGTAAACCAATGTTAGCTCAACAAAATTTAAAAAAAAAAAAGTGAATTTGGGTATAAAGAGTCACTGGGGATGTGCATGCACAGAAAAGAGAGTGTGAAAATACAGATAGAAGGTGGTCACCTCCAAGTCAAGGAAAGATGCTTCAGAAGAAAGCAAACCTACCCACACCTTTATCTTGAACTCTAGAACTTTGAAAAAATAGATTTCTGTTATTTAAGTCACCAGTATATGGTAATTTGTGATGGCAGCCTTAGCAAATTAATAAATT